ATTTTATCTGTACTAAGCACTAAATCAGACAGAAAGTCTGAGAATTCACTTAAAAACTCTGAATAAGGAGCAGGTGGACGGTATACAATAACAAACAGAACAGGCTTTTGAGTTTTCCAGTTTGGGTGTGAGAGACTCAGGGTGAGACTTTCAAATGAGTTATAACTATGTTTAGGTCTAGGGTTGATTAATAGGCTTGAGTCAAAGATCGCTGCCACGCCACCCCCTCGGCCTGTGTTTCGAGGGATGTGACAGTTACTGTGACTAGGTGATGCCTTCTAAATTTATAAGAAAATAGATTATGTCTGCTCCAGTGTTAAACTGACTCTGAAACATACTGATAGGGTCCTGCTGGTTCACTTGTCTTTTATAGGCCTATTCTCTTTCTTCTCTTGGAGAAAAAAATAAAGCATGATTCTAGTGTGTTCTGACAGCACTTCACCTATGGTTAATATGGCTCTTTTGCTTTGTTGGTATCACATTATCAGTAAATGTTTCCAGCCAATGTATTTTTTTCCACCAACATACAGTATCAGCTCTTCCAGCACATGACTCTCATAGGTCTTGGTTAAGAGAAAGCAAAACTGAAAAATGACACCAGAGCAAAAGTCAAGGTGGAGTCAAACTCATGCCACTTGAGAGACAAAGCTGCACTTCTTGGTGAGGTGACAGTGGTGTGGTGGGTAGAGCAGTTTTGAATCTCGGTACCGGCAGTCCATGTATCAAGGTGTCCTTGGGCAAGACACAGAACACCCCCCATCCCCATTACCCCTGATGGTTAGAGCTGTCGGTTGAGGTGGTGCCACAAATGGCTGCCATTGGTTCTGTACTGGAAACGAATTCCTTGTGTGTAACATGCTTGGCCAATAAAGGTGATTATCCTTATCCTTCATGCCTTTGCCACCCTCTGAACTTGGTTCTCATTCTATCTGTGTCAGTAGGAAAATGCAGCATTTCATTCATTCAAAAATTATGTTGCATCGGAATACAATTCAGCAATCAAATTTGTTCCCTACAAAATGTATAGTATCTGCATTTGCAGTTTAGTTGCATAGGAACATTTTAAGAGACAGGGCAAATAGGCTATAAACTAGTAATCTGTATGTTAAGACCCGGCCATTAAACCCTCCTTCTGCCCCTTGTGTTTTAACGAAGCTGTATTGACAGTATCATTTTACAAAGTCTACATAACTGCGGGGTTATGACAGCAGCTGTGTGATACATCAGATTTCAAATGAACGTTCACAAACAAGTTTTCTTTTTCATTCCAGCAGACTTTACTATTTATTATGTCTTAACATAACTGAAGCATGTTAACCATGTCTAATAGATCTTTGTCTAGAAATGTGAAATCCAGTGTAACAGGTAATAATTATTTCTGTGGTGCAGCACCTGTATGATAATGATTATGGTCAGACATTTTTGACAACAAAACTCCTTCTAAAGGCGACGCTGTGCAAATCAAGGAATAGCTCTTTAATGGGCATGCTTACCATGGAATCTAGACATGCCTTATCAGGCAACAGGAGAAGCAGGGGGGTGGTGTGGGGGTGGGGGGGGTTCCTGGAAGGCTCACGGGAATCACGCACCAGCTGCATGACAGCTGAAAGACATTCAGCTGAGACGTACAATTCTTAGTGGCTGCATCTTAGCTTTAGATAAAGTAGCAGACTAACATTATCCTTCATCAGTAATCTGACTACTGCTGCAGGCTCGCACACATAGACAAATCTGAGCAGTCTGACATCCTCTTCCAGGCTTTGTTAGAAAAAATAAAGCTCTAGTGAGACATCTGAATGGGTGAGACCGCAGAGGGTCAGCCACGGTCTCTCCTGTCCACTACTGTCCACCACTTTAACAGCACAGTGGGTGTACTACACTCAGACACATGGTTTATTCAGGTTTGTTAATGAAGGCTACAACACAAACTTTAAGATTAACATCTATGTTTCATTCAGATTGAGACAATCATTTACAGCTCTTTTGAGGTAAATGATTTATTTGTTATTACAGATTAATTTTTTGTGTAGTTTAAAAATTGGGAATTAATATTAAAACCAAAGGTCAGAGTCATAAAAAAATATGGTTCTTGGCAAGTGGACTTATACTTGTATAGTACTTTTCTATGCATTTAAGTATACTCTTTTCCACTACTTGTCCATTCATTCACACTCACAAACAAACTGGTGGACAGTCAACTTGGGGTTCACTGTCTTACTCAAAGACACTTTGACATGTGGACTGGAGAAGCTGGGAGGTGAACCACCAACTCTCTGGTTAGAAGATGATCTCCTGAGCCCCATCAACTTAAACTTGCTTTCTGTGACAACTTGAATATGATCGCATGATGACAATTCAAAAAGCAGAAATCTAAGGACTGCTGCAAAAGCATCTTATGCTGTTATATATGCAGCTTCAGAAAGCAAAACATGTGCAATCAAACAAACTGTGATCTGATTTCTTCAGACCTCCATACAAAGAGACGGAGGAATGAGTTAAATAACCATTTGAGAGCAGAACAAACACTCACAGTTCTCAGACTTTGTAAACAGGTAATGTTTCAGTCTTACCTGCTTCTGTTGTTTAGTCCAAAATTATTCCAGTAAACAGCAAAATGTCAGCAACATCATTGTTGGTGTTTGGCCACCTGTCTCTCTCTTTAACCATCTGTCTGGTGTTTTTTGGCCTTGCTTTGCTTTGCCTCCCAAGCTGAAAGATGAGAGGTCAGGTAGTGTGTCATGTAACAGACACACACAGACACATCTCTGAAGTCCCATGTTTATCAGTTGTCATTACAAATAAAATTAGTAATTTGTAAACATTTAAATCACATTAAAAATCAAAGATCTAAAATCCTAATTGAAAAGCCACAAAAACTGATTATAAATTAATATATTAATAATTTATTAACACCCCCTACTGGGTGCCCCAGTAGCTGAATAGTTATGGTGCAGTGCCCCACGTACATAGGCCCAACTTGTGTGCGATGTCAGTGGATCAAATCCAGCCAGCGACCTATGTTGCATGTCCTCTCCTATGGGACAATCATGTCAGGTGGTTGTATGCTTTAAACAGGCTTCAGTGTGCACATCGCAGACTAAACTTTATTTTGACTCTCCAGTGTAAACACATTCACTGCCAAGTTAGAATGAAAGCTGTCAAACAGGGAGCTGGTCCTCTCAACAGAGCCAGAGGTCTGACCTGAGCACCACCTGCTGGTGATTTAGAACAGGTGTAAGTGTGTTTTTGGTGTAACCTTGAGTGAAGCCCAGGCATAGAGTGGATTTATTAGCAATCAGAAAGATGGTGTTTCATTCTCAAAGACAAAACCTCTGTCAGTAGAAAACAGTAGGTTTTTTAAAGTGGTTGCAGTAGCTGTGTTCTGTGAGAGTCCTGAACAGATTGGTGGATGTTTTCTGTTTAAGGTAGCATCAGTAGATGTGGGTTCATTAGAGGATTGTAGAATTTGTTTCAGATCTATTTGCAGTTTGTCTCTCTGCAGCAGAAATCCTGAGAGGATTCATTCATTAGTAAATTCTTTTACCATAAATGGAGCTGATGGGCTCTGATGAGTATTTAAACTGTCTCACAGAGGAATCTTGCCTGTTTGTTCACATTGCTCTCTCTGCACTCTTTTTGTTTAATCTTATTATCTGTTCCACTCTATTTTTTTTAGTTTTTTTATATTATCATGGCCCCCAAGAAACCAGAACAAAAGAAGGAAACAGTTAAACCTTCTCTAGAACCAGAAGCTGCTAAAGAACCGGAGTTTGACCTACATGGCATCAAGGTCTGTCTGTCTGTCTGTGTGTTGTGTTTTTATAAATCAAATGTCTGAGAACTCCTTCAAAGTGTAAAATCCATTTGACAGAATACAAGACAAAAATGTACACTGCGTTGAACTCTTAAAAGGAATTAGATAGTTCAGACTGATTTGTATCAGGTTTTACTATTTGTTAATATGACAGGGCATTTAACAAGCAAGTGTGTTTGCGACCATGTAATGATTAATTTGATGCAGAATGTCTTAGATCCTGAAATACACTTCAGTTTCTGGGTTTTGCAGACTCCAGATCTTTGTATCTTTTTCAGATTGAGTTCAGTGCTGATCAGATTGAAGGTAAAGCTGTATAGAGACATATATTCACAGACTAGAAATGTAACAGATTTAGTTTTTACAGACTGATATTATAGCTAATCTCTTTCTGTAGAGTTTAAAGAAGCCTTCCAGCTGTTTGACAGGACTCCAGAGAATCAGATGAAGATTTCATTCTCTCAGTGTGGAGATGTGATGAGAGCTCTAGGACAAAATCCAACCAATCTTGAAGTTCACCGAGTTCTGGGACGACCCAAACCTGAGGGTATATGTGCACATAAAAGTTGTTTGGGTTATCAAAGTTACACATCTTATGTTTTTGATCAAATGATGTAATAAGAATAATACAAATTTATTCAAAATGTTTAATATTTGCAATAAAAACAATTTAAGTCAGATTGACAATTAGAAATAGGGTAAATAATAAAATTCCATAATAAATTCATGAAATTCAAACAGCATGTAAGAATGTGTTATTTTTTCTCCTTCTTCTTTTTGTTGGAAAAGAAATGGGCAGTAAACTACTGGACTTTGATACCTTCCTGCCAATGCTGCAGCATGTGGCGCAGTCTAAAGACAAAGTGAGAAAAACGTTTTCACTTACACAGGCCAAAGGTTATTTGAGTTAATATGTTGGTAAAAGTGTTTGTTACTGTTTTCACAGGGCACATACGAGGATTTTGTGGAAGGCCTCAGAGTTTTTGATAAAGAAGGCAATGGGACAGTGATGGGTGCAGAGCTGAGACATGTTCTGGTAACTCTGGGTATGATGGTCATTCTAGGATATGGTCACATGTATGCATGCACTGTAATGAAGAGTTTATCAGGGGAAATAATGACATTGTTTTTCAAAACAAACTAACAAAAAAAATCAAATTATACTGAACATTTTCCAAGGAAAAATCATGATAGTAAAGTGATGAAATTTGATCTTTCAAGAAAAAGCACTGGCTGGACTTAAGATTTTGGCATGAAACAGTTAAGTTGTTTAAATTTTATCAAGCTACATGTTCTGAGAATATTTAAGTAATTTATTGTATTATCTGTTAATTTTTCCAAAACAAAAGATTATTTTCTAACCTAAATGCAGTCTTAATATATTGACATTTTATTTGTAGATATGTGTGCACACCGCACTAATCCACAAAGACCATGTTTAGAAAATGTAAGAAAATGTGTATGTTTTTACTTATCAGGAGAGAGGATGTCAGAGGGAGAAGTGGATCAGCTGTTGGCAGGATTGGAAGATGCTAATGGATGTATTAATTATGAAGGTAATTGACACATTCAGTAAACATAAAAAGAGTCCTGTGAAATAAAGACTGAAAATAACTGTATACATTTTTCAGCTTTTGTCAAGCAACTTATGGCAGGCTAAAACCACATGTAAGTGTATTCATCTTTTTTTCAACAGTAGAATCACCAGTGTCTGGCTTCTTTCATATATTACAACATGTTTGTTTTCCAGGTTGGAGTCTCCGTACAGAAAGAAGTTTGTTTCTGGTTTTTGCCAGTTTTTATTTTTTGTCTCCATCATAAACTCCAGCTTTATTTCTTTTGAGTTGTTAAGAATGTGGTTCTTCAAAAAAAATAAATGTATCTAATTTCAGCTCTGAGCCTTAATTTTGTGAACCAGCAATAAAATTAAATGCCAAAGACATTATTGCACTCCACTATTATTCCGGTCTCTGGGATGAAAGTGTGCAGTTTGTAATACAGATCTTTTCCACTCTCTGGGGAATATTTAATAAGGATGTGTAGATTTATTTTTTTTTTGTCTTAAACAATGGAATTGCATTTGTTAACCGCAACCGAAATAACCTTGGAAATCAACTGGACTTGGATATCTAGATCGAAGACGTTTCACCATATAATAAACTCCCAGGACTTCGCAAGGAAAGTCCAACAACTGCAGCTGGAGCAGGACGAGACCATGGTCTCATATGATGTCAGGTAACGACCCTCACTGATACTGGGCTGCAACGACTCAGTCGTTAATGGACAGTGTTGGCCTTCTAAGGACTGAAACACCACCAAGGGGGATAAATATCTCCGACTCAACACCAGTCAGTCAGAACTGATGAAGCCTCTTGGATGAGAGGTGAAACGTCTTCGATCTAGATATCCAAGTCCAGTTGATTTCCAAGGTTATTTCGGTTGCAGTTTACTATGACCTGGATGACTGAGAATCTGCACAGATAAATTGCATTTGTTCTGCAGGTTTTCTTCTTGGCCAGATAAAATTGCTTTAAGCCTGTATGGCCTACATATAAAATATCAAATATGGCCTAAATATTCTAAATCAGATGTGGGTCATTATTGGCAAAGATGCAGTGTTCTTGGCAGTGTGTAATTTAGATGTGACCTGACAGTGGGCCATGTAGTAAATGATGAATGTAGGCCAAATGTCACAAAACAAAGGTTGGCCAATTTTGGGACATATGTGGCACAGCTGACAAAGGGTGATCTGGGTGTAAACCAACAGTGGTCTACATGCGATGGAGCATATTTAGCCTGGATATCTTAGTACATATCCAGGGATGAGGAATGAGTTATAATGTCATGGACCTTCCTGTGCCATCAAATGACTTTGCATTTGGATAGAGGTTCAAGAAAAGGTACTGGCCAACACATGTCAGTGTGAGCCCACCTGGCCAGCAGCACTCCAGCCTGACAGGTGTTCTAGATAAAAAAGACAGGGAAAAAGAGAGTGAGAGAGACAGAGAGTGTGGAGGTATAAGGGGTGATCCATCTGCATTCACACACCTCTCCTGCCTTTCTAGGGATACTCTGCTTAGGATCAGGAGTGCAGGAGTGAGTCATATCCCATAGATCTCCCTGCGATGTCCAGCAACTTCAAATCAAATCAAATCAAGTTTATTTATATAGCACTTTAAAAACAACATCCAGTTTCTACTTCACAGCTGAGTAGAGATCTAAGGTAAGGCACAGGCCAGCGCATGTCATTCTGGGTCTCAATGGCCATTAAATAGAAAAAGGGTTCAGTTACTGTTTGTCAGATTTGACTTTGATTTAGTTATAAGCTAGCTAGGCATAGAAAAAGGGTTAGGTGCATCTGTCTCAATGGCCCACTTTATCCAGTGACTAAACTATTTGAAGCAGAGGGCCAAAGGCAAGGCGCAGGCTGACGCTTGTCACTCAGGCTCTTGAAACTGCATACTGTCTCAGACCCAAACCATTTCCTGTTTGATGACATCACTTCTGGTAGTGTATTTCAAAAGTGTTTCTAATAGAGCCTAAGGAACACAACTTCCAGTTTAACCAAACCCACAAAGGCCAAACACCACCAGGATGTGGTGGTCTTAGGGTAGGTGTTAGGGGTTAGGCTGTAATCACCACCTGACTCAGACTGGATTTCTGAGGGTTCTGACAATATTATTTTCATTATTGATTAACCTACACTTGGATGATTTTCTTGAATAAACAACTGATTGCTTGATCACCTTTTTATTGATCCAGATACATGTGTAGTGGTTTAAGTACATGTAGATGTTGATATGGATTATGTAATAGAATAGAATGTTTGTTAAAGTTTAGTCCCCCTCATCAAGAGGGTGAGGGAGAACTGAGATAGGACTCAAGATTGCTGACCCAGGTGCTAGTGAAAAAGGTGGTTTTAATGGTGGGAATCAAAAAAAAAAGGAACAGAGTCAATGAACACATACAACCAGGGCTGGGCAAAGACAGCTGAGAAGACCAGGACGACCAGGGGAGTAAACAGGCTAACGGCAGAAACCAGGAGAGTGGGAGGAACAGGACGGTCAGGTGAATAAACAAACTACCCAGGAGGAATGATGAACGAAATAGGAAATCCACAGGACAGGAACTGTCAGTGTGGATATCAAAATTAACGTCTAGCTAACCTAATGAAAAAAAACATAAAGAGATCCACACCACAGGAACTGTCAGCGTGGACATCTAGAGATGAATAACACAAAACATATAACAAACGTACAAAATGCAAAGTACAGGAACTGTCAGCATGGAAAACAAAATGACATATGATACATACCACGAATATAGGGCTGTTACGGGGTATGCACATTAATGCTCCGGCAACGACGGAGCATCTGCCAGAGGTATAAATAAGGAGGAAGGTAATCGTCTGGATGCACCCCAGCTGTGAGCACTGGCAAATGAGTCACTAATTACTGAAATGCAACACAGCTGAGGTGCAGATCCCGCAGGATCGAGAGAGCAGAAGAGATAAAGGCGGAAGAGAGGCAGGTCGCGCCGAGCGGACCTGACAATATTTGTGTGTTCACTTTTAAGTTCATGTGAGCTGGATGTGATGTCCAACCAATGTGCGATCACATTAGTTTGAATGTATATAATGGCATTAAGGGTAAATGTGCATTTTTCATGTAAACATTTTGTTTTCTCAAAACATGACATAACCCAGTGTTATGGATAGGACAATACTTTTTTCACCAGTAGGTGGCAGTGTGAGACTGGTTTACCCGATGGACTGCAGCCATCTAGCGTGCTTCGCTGGGTTTTTCTCATAATGGCGGAGAACTCAGTAATGTGAAGCCATGTCTCCCTGCCCAATTATTCCTTTCCTGTATTTCAGGTTAGTAATATGGGTAAACTACAGTAAATGAACGGTTATCAGGCCAAGAAGGAAACCAAGCATTGGATGTTTATTTTACAGGTTGCAGGAGTAGTTTTTTTGAGTACTTATGGTGACTGCTACATACCGGCTCATTTTGCTAGCAAGCATGCTAATATTAGCTGGGTTATACTCTCAGTTCAGGTCACTCACCTCACCTGGTAGCGTTTGTTTGTATTTTGACCCTGGCTCCATGTTCATGTTAAAAAGGAAATGTGTGAACTGTTAATTATGTTTCATGATTTGTTTATCTGGTACTGCTCTCAAGTTAAAAATGATACAAAAGTGCTTATTCATTAGTGATAGTACACTTCAAACCCAGGATGTGTTTAAAGTAAAAGCAAAGATATGTAAGACGGGATTTCAACCAAGAGGTTTTGTGTGTTATATCTGTTTCATGAGCACAATCTACTATGTATAAGAATACGTTGAATGTGCAGTATGTACTGGAAAATTAACAAGTGAGCGACAGATACAGTACCCAGTGGACAGACTGTTGAAATAATTTGTGTTTAAATAAAAATAATGGCGGAGAACTCAGCAATGTGAAGCCACGTCTCCCTGCCTAATTATTCCTTTCCTGTATTTCAGGATATATACATCTGCCTACAGGTGTTATATTCTGATACCTGTAACATGGACAATGGACTTATATAATTTGGACAAGCTTTTCCCTGTTTTTGGGTATATCTCAGGGTGTTGTCTCCTAAAACTGGAGACAGGAAGCTAAGTTTGGAAATTGACATAACAGCCTAAGAAAGCTGTGGATAAAAAGGGTAATGCTGAAGGATGTGGGGGGAGGAAGAATGCTACTGTGACAGTATAGTGGTTTAAGTTATATGTTAATATGGATTATGTAATAGAATAGAGTGCTTGTGTGTTCACCTTTAAGTTCATGTAAGCTGAACAATGAGCTTTTATAATTTGGCCAAGATGTTTCCTGTTTTTGGGTACATCTCAGGGTGTTGTCTCCTAAAACTGGAGACAGGAAGCTAAGTTTGGAAATTGACATAACAGCCTAAGAAAGCTGTGGATAAAAAGGGTAAGGCTGAAGGATGTAGGGAGAAGGAAGGATGGTGCTGCAGTCGTGAAAGTGAGCTTGGACCTGGCCGGGGGGACTCTGGACTCTGACTGACTGTACCCTGTGACCAACACTGACTGACTGACTCTGACAATCTTCTTATTTAATACCTTATCTATTCAATTGCAGGAGGAGTGATTCTGTTCATTGAAGCGTGTACTCTTTCGGACCCAAGCCTGGGTGGGGGGAACAGACTCTGGACTGACTGGACCCCTGACCAAGACTGACTGACTCTGTGACAATCTCCTGTATCTAGGAGGAGGGATTCTGCTCTCTGTTCCCTAACTACCAGAGTACCTATTTAACTACTACTCTGTTCAGAATAACTGTAATATTAAATGATTGCTTAAATTGGGATGATTTGTCTGAATAAACATAGTTTGTATCGGACACCCTAGGCCGGAGGTTGATGATTGACTTTGTGGTTGTTTCATTTGACCTCCGGCCGTATGTCTTGGACACTCGGGTAAAGAGAGGGACGGAGCTGTCAACTGATCACTACCTGGTGGTGACCTGGATCCAATGGCGGGGGAGGAAGCTGGACAGGCTCGGCAGACCCAAATGTATTGTGAGGGTCTGTTGGGAATGTTTAGCAGAATCCCTTGTCAGAGAGATCTTCAACTCCCACCTCCAGCAGAGCTTTGACCAGATCCCGGGGAGGTTG